TATAAGCAATGCTATCAACAATTAAGATATAAACTCAATCCATTTGATTAATCATGGCTTTATTTTTTTACTAGCCTATGACATGGTGAATCCCCAAGCAGACTACACGACCTACTAAATTGTTGTATAAGACCTAAAAAAACAATAATAATAATAAAATAATTTATAAACTGAATTTTAGATTCAAAGGTTGTCCAACCTGGAAAATGTTCTAAAAAGACATTTTATTTCTTATCTATAGGGAGGATTATTAACACAGGCAAGATGCTCAAGGACTCTCAGAAGGTTAAGAAAATATCTTAGACAGATACACTAGAAGAAAATTGCTGTGAGCATATTCCAAGGATTTGTTTAAAATTGGTGATGGAAATAATCTTTCCACTCTACTTCTATGATATCAATTAGATTTAGCTTTCGTGATGTGTGCGTGCATATATATATATATTTTAAAAATATATTGTACATGATAAATACATACAATTATATCTGTCAATATTTTTTTAAAAATAAATTAATTTAAATTTTAAAAATCTGGTGATAGAGAAAAAAAGGGAAAGGCATTGAGATGTAAATCCAGAATTAGCTATAAATTTTTCCTATATAGTTTCAGAAAACATACTCTAGGAAAGATTTTTAAAAATGTATGATACCACACATGAGCGAATGCAAGATTCCACACATGAGTTTCTTCTTTATTATGTTTCATTGGTCTCTCTTGCACTTAATTTTAGTTGTCTTGGATCAACTTGTAACTTTCTCACCCTGGAAAAACTTTGTAACACTTTCTCGGATCTGTTTTGTCTTTACCCCATAAACAATGGGGTTTAGAGTTGGAGGAAGAAGAAGATAGAGGTTAGCCACAATAATGTGAAGAGAAGAGGGAATGATGTGTCCCCCAAAACGGTGGGTAAAGAAAGTAAAGAATGCTGGAACATAGGTGATGATGATGGCAGATATATGAGCAGTGCAGGTGCTGAAGGCCTTCTGCCGAGCATCTGCGGAGGAGAGGCTGACCACTGCCCGAAGGATCATAGTGTAAGACATGGATATACAACAAATGTCGAACACTCCAATCAGGAGGGCAGCCATCAGACCATAGATGACATTGACCTTGGTGCTGGCACAGGATAACTTTACCACAGACATGTGGTCACAATAGGTATGGGCGATGATATTGCTTCTGCAGAAGGGCAAACGCTTGACCAAGAATAGGAAAGGAATCATCAGCAGCACACCCCTCAGGAAGGTAGCGACCCCAGCTTTGGCAATGACGGGGTTAGTGAGTATGGTAGCATACCGCAAGGGGTAGCAAATGGCCACGTAGCGGTCCAGAGCCATGAGCATGAGCACCCCAGACTCCACACCTGTGAACCCATGGACAAAGAACATCTGGACTAAGCAAGCATCGAAGTTAATTTCTTTGAGATTGAACCAGAAGATGCAGAGTGCATTGGGTAGGGTGGTGGTGCAGGTAAGGAGGTCAATGAGCGAGAGCATGGCCAGAAAGAAATACATTGGACGATGTAAGGACTCTTCGTAGTAAATGAGGTACACAAGGCCAAGGTTTCCCACAAGGGAGATGATATACATTGTGCAGAGTGGTAGGGAGAGCCATAGGTGTACTCTTTCCAGACCAGGAATTCCATTAAGAATAAAAGATTGGGGGGCCACATAGGAATTGTTGGAATTCAGCATAACTAATTCAACAGACGAACTCTCTTTTTCCAGAAGTCTCTATCCTGAGGAGAGGAAATTAAGAAACAGAAACTTGTTTCAGCTCTTCCTTGCAAATGCAAACCTAAATTTGGAATAAAATTGCATTTATAATAGTTGTGACCATTTTGAATAATAGTGACCATAAAAATATATAATTTATTGAATAATACTATATTCCAGGTAATAGTTTAAAAATTGTTTAAGCAGTCTAAATGTAATTTAAAACCTATAACTACAAAATTGTAATTTTTTTTATCATCAAATAAAAGTACAGACTGGGACACAAAGAAGTTGAATAATATGGAATGTGACACAACTGGATTCAGGAGCAAAAATGATAATCATGTTTGACTCCAACACTCATACAGTCTCATTACTGTGCTTCTTGGCTTGACAGAGTACATACTGTACGATAGCAAGCTGTAATTTCATGTAAAGAATGCCTGAAGTTTGTTCATTAAATTAATTTTGTGTGGCAATATGTAATACAGCTATGGATCTTTCTACGAGAGCACTTTTTCACATTTCATGTCTCTTTGCCAGTTGTGTGACTTGGAGAGGTTTACATTTCTTTTGAAGTTTCAGTTGCTCATCTATAATGTGAGGCTAATGATCCTACCAGAAAGAGTTCTGAAAAATAATCAGAAGTTTATTTTACTCCTAGGTTAGTACTCTGGATGTACTAATCATTAGAACTGCAGGTTTAGATACCATATGGATATAAAATACTGGGATAATGGCCCTGATGTTCAATCAGATTTGATTGTCTCAAATACCATGTAATTTTCCAATATCATTGAAATTATTCACCTTCTTTACAAGTCTTCTGTTTTTATATAATTCTTCAGAAGCATATATTCTGGACCCTTTCTTTTTTTCTGTCTGGGAAATATTTTAACTCTATAACCTCACATATAGCCAACATGAAGATAACTTCAGATAATTAATTTTATAAGTAGTCTACGTCACAATTTTTGAGTCCTTCCAAATGAATGCTGGATATTTCCATCATAAATTTCCATGAACATTTTAAATTGCTATGTTCAAGGCTACACTCATCACTTCAACCTCTACCCATGCCAAAGATAGGCACTACCTCTGAGTTATGTCTCTTGAACAATAATGTCATTATTCACCATTTTATCTAAACTAATATCCTTGTGATCTTCTCTAGTATTTCTCCACATCATCTTGAGTATAATTTCTTTATAGCTCAATGTGTTCCAATTACCTCAGGGCACCTCAACATGTCTGTTTTCTTCAGTCTCCTTGGACAAAACACTTTGATTTTTAATCCAGAAACATTTCTTTTTTTCTTTTTTTCAGGTCCATTATATTTATTGCATTTTATTTCATCAAGTACACAGTGACACTTTGGGTCTACCAAGTTACTTTTATGTTTAATAATCTAAGTTTTGTTTTCATAGTATAAAATACCCCTAATATCAAGTGTTACATAAATATCCAGTTTTCTTATGTTCTCAATTTCCCATCATTTTTTATAGTGAAGACATTGACATTAGCATATCCAAATGCCATGAATTTTTTATAACTATGTAGATATAAGCCTACATAGCATTTTTAGAATAGTGTTATTATATGCACTTATAAATGACATTTTAAAATGAATAATTACACCAAAAAACATCTTTAAAAGATTTGTTGAAAGGTTTGTCTTAAAATTTCAGTTATTATAGATGTAATGTTATTACAAATTTCAAAATCTAAAAACATAGTAAGTAACAAGTATTTATTAAGAACTCTGATAAATCAGAAAAGCATAAAGCTGATTTTTTTCATATTATAGAATATATTTATGATGCCTACAGTACACAAATTGAGATCATTGTATCTGAAAGTAGACTGCCTGGGTAATCACGGGTCTCCTCCCTGGTTACCTTCGTGATCTTGGAAAAAAATTTTAGTCTCTCTGAGCTTTATTTTCTCACCCATAAAATGGGATTAACAATTCTGCCAACAGAATTATTGCAGAGTTATTTCTTAGATTATAAGAATAAATATGTATATGCATAATGCCTAGAATATTACCTGACTCATAATGGGATTTAAGTAAATATTGCTTATTGGATTATAATGGCAAATGTTCTATTTGCTTTAGAACAGCAGCAAACTTGCAATTAAATTTATATCATTTTAATAATCAATTCTTTCTCTCCATCATCACTCTGTTTGCTTTAAAGACCACCAAGCCATATCCATTTATTTTTTTGATTTGCCTCTTGAATTTTTCATATCAAATTTGTCCTACAGCATGATTTTGAAGATGTTTTAATACACTGTCCCATAAATATGTATAATCAATTATGTTTTAAGTGTTAAAAAAAAAAAATATATATATTTATATTCCTTAGAATAATTTTATTGCGATGGTCAGTAATGAAATAAGTAATAAAAGATTCCTTAAACTACTGATAGTTTACTTAAATAAATTCATATTTTTACATTAAAAAAAGATAAATAAGAAATATATCAGTAAAATGTTAGTATTTGAGACAGGGATTAGTACCATAGAGAAAAATAAACTGGGATGAATGTAGGTAGTGAATAAGGTGAAGGTGATTTGCAGTAATGAAAATGTAATCAGAAGGCATGTACCTAGGGAAGTGAGGTAGTGAGCCATGTGGATACTGGGGAAGAACATTCCAGCAGGTCTGAGTAAGTCATAACATGGTTATGGCCAGGTTCCATATATGCAAAAAAAAATTTCAATATTTCAGAAAATAACAACAATAATAATAATTTTCAATATTTCTCCATTACTTTGATGGTAGAGTTCAAATTCCTTGGCATGGCATTCAATAAAGTAAAATTTAGGTGTTATCCTTTCTTTCACATTTTATTTCTATTACCTGACCACCCAAAAGTGTTCTGGTTTAGACAATAAGTTATATGACCAATGTATCTTAGCACTTTATCTGTAAGCATTGCTGCACTACTCTCTACACCCAAAATACTATATATACTTTGACTCTATGTAGACTTTGCTCAATTTTTGAAAATAATTTGTAAATCTCTTGCAAAGTTAGAAAGAAGGAAATAATAAAGATCAGAGCAGAAATAAATGAAATAGAGAATAGAAAAGCAAATGAAAAGTTCAACAACACTAAGAATTGCTTTTTGAAAAGATAAACAAAATTGACAAACCCTTAGCCAGACAAAAGAAAGAGAGAAGACTCAAATAAAACCAAAAATGAAAAATGAGACATTAAAAATGATACAACAGAAATAGAAAGGATTAGAAGAGACTATTATGAACAATTATACAACAATAAATTGGGTAACTCAGAAAAACGGTTAAATTCCTTAGTCATGCAAAGTTACCAAGCTGAATTAAAAGAAATAGAAAATCTTAGATCAATATGAAGAAGGAAATAAATCAGAAATAAAAGTCTTCTATCAAAGAAATCCCAGGACCTGATGGCTTCACAGCTGAATTCTATTAAACATTTAAAGAAGATTAACATTAAACATTTAATGCCAATTTTCAAATTCTTCTGAAAAAATCAATGGGAAAGATACTTAAAAAGTCATTTTATGAGGCTAGAATCACCCTGATCTCAAAGCCAGACAAGGACTCTGTAAAAAAAGAAAACTGCGAGTTACCTACAGGGGAGCCGCTGTCAGACTAACAGCAGACTTCTCAAAAGAAACTCTATAGGCCAGAAGAAAATGGGATGGTATATCCAAAATACTAAAACAAAAAATCTGCCAGCCAAGAATACTATACCAAGCAAAGCCATCATTCAGAAATGAGGGAAAAGTAGTGTATTTTCCAGATAAACAAACGCTGTGGGAGGTCACCACCACAGGACCAGCTCTACAAGAAATCCTCAAGAAAGTCCTGCACCTGAAATCCAAAAACTGATTATCACTACCATGAGTACACAAGAAAGAACAAAACCCACTGGTAAAACAGAAATGCAAACAGGGAGTAGGAAGAAACTAAATCTTACCAACACAAAAAGCCAAAGTGACAATGTAATAATGCCCTACTTTATTTCTGATCTTTGTAATTTTGCTCTTCTCTCTTTTTTTCTTGGTCAGCTACATAAAGGTTTTCAAACTTTGTTGATCTTTTTAAAGAATCAATTTTTTTTTGTTTATTTTCTCTATTGTTTTTAATTCTCTATTTCATATATTTCTGTTGTAATCTGTGTTATTTTCTTATATTTGCTTTGGTTTAGTTTACTCCACCTTTTCTGTTGATGGACATTTAGGTTGGTTTCATATCTTGGCTACTGTAAATAGAGTTTCAGTGAATGTGGAGGGCGGGTATCACTTCGACATGATGATTTCCATTCCTTTGGGTATACATCCAGAAGTCGGATTGCTGGATCATACGGTAGTTCTATCTGTAGCTGTTTGAGAAACCTCCATACTATTTTCCATAATGGCTTTACTAATTTACACTCCCACCAAAAATATGGAAGTTTCCTCTTCTGCACATCCTCACCGGCATTTTTTATTCTCAGCATTTTTCATAATAGCCAGTCTAACTAGTGTGAAATGATATCTCAATGCAGTTCTAATTTGCATTTCCCTGATGACTAGTGATGTTGAGTATTTTTCCATGTACCTACTGGACATTTGTATGTCTTCCTTTGAAAAAAAAATGTCTATTTAGCTCCATTGCACATTTTTTAATTGGATTATTTGGTTTTTTTACTGAAAAATTGTTTGAGTTCCTTGTATTCCAGATATTAATCCTTTGTCAGATGTATGGTTTTCAAATACTTTCACATTCAGTATGCTGTTTTTTCACTCTGTTGATTGTTTTATTTGCTGTGCAGAAGCTTTCTAGTTTGATATAATCCCATTTGTTTAATTTTTATTTGGTGCCTGTAATTTTGGGATCTTATTCATAAAGTCTTTTCCCTATGTTCTGGATTGTTTCCCCTAGGTTTTCTTCTAGTTTTATGGTTTCAGGTTTTATACTTAAGTCTTTAATCCATTTGGAG